AGGTGTAATCTTTTGTGGATAGTGAGAGTTTTCAACACAGAGAATAAGGTGGACTCTTCCGTGGATATCCAGATGTTTCAACACTGAGAATAAGGTGGACTCTTCCGTGGATATCCAAAGGTTTCAACACTGAGAATAAAGTGGACTCTTCTGTGGATATCCAAAGGTTTCAACACCGAGAATAAAGTGGACTCTTCTGTGGATATCCAAAGGTTTCAACACCGAGAATAAGGTACACTCTTCTGTTATATCAAAGGTTTCAACACCGAGAATAAGGTACACTCTTCTGTTATATCAAAGGTTTCAACACTGAGAATAAGGCGTAATCTTCTGTGGATAACGAGAGTTTTCAACACAGAGAATAAGGTAGACTCTTCTGTGGATATCCAGATGTTTCAACACTGAGAATAAGGTGGACTCTTCCGTGGATATCCAAAGGTTTCAACACTGAGAATAAGGTAAACTCTTCTGTTATATCAAAGGTTTCAACACTGAGAATAAGGCGTAATCTTCTGTGGACAGTCAGAGATTTCAACACTGAAAATAAGCCGCAATCTTCTGTGGACAGCCAGAGATTTCAGCACTGAGAATAAGACAGATTCTTCTGTGGATAGCGAGAGATTTCAACACTGAGAATAACATAGATTCTTGTGTGGATAACCAGAGGTTTCAACACTGAGAATAAGGTGTAATCTTTTGTAGATATCCAGATGTTTAAACACTGAGAATAGGGTGTAATCTTCTGTGGATATCCAGATGTATAAACACTGAGAATAAGGTATAATCTTCTGTGGATATCCAGATGTATAAACACTGAGAATAAGGTATAATATTCTATGGACAGTAAAATGTTTAACATTTAGAATAAGGTCCAGTGTTCTGTAATTCAATGGATAACAACAGATATCCCTACTAAGAATATAGTGAAATATTCAATTATGTTACATGTTATTGAAGGCTACAATTCATAAAATAGTATTGACTTCTACAATTCAACAATCAGCTAAAGGTTGAAAAAAATGAAATGATGACTGATGTTCTTATTGTATGAGTATAAACAGGTTCCAACAAATAAAATTATATCTTCGTTGATACAGATAGCTTATGCTTTTAGCAAATGACATGAACCAATAACTTGTATTCTTACTGTATGGTTCCAAATAAGGTGATTCATTCAGTAATTCAATGCTATTAATACTAATTTATTTCAGGTCTAAGGTAAAGCTAATATTTATGGAATTTCATGAGCTGATGGTTCTATGGAAAGCTGTCAGGTACAAAATGTAAGGAACTAATGGTATCTTAAGGTATACATTGGAGACAAAAGCAATCTTTGTGAAATATAAAATGAAATTATAATGTCTTCAGTGATTGTGCAAGCAACATGATAAACCAGTTGTCTCAGAAGCTTGAAACTACAACCTTTGATTAGCATGTAGATGACTTGAATATGTGCTTATGGTGCAATTTCTCTGGTTGTTTAGAACTTAAGTTTTGTAATATTTTGTCGGAAACCTCAACTTTTAGTTGTTTTTCAATATATAGTGGTGTGTGAAAAGAAATATATATATGAATATTTTACTTTGTACAAATGAACTGATATTCAACTCCTATTTTTGACATTAACTATACCCAGTTTTGACTGAAGCTGCCTCCTGTACACTATTTGAATGATTAAACACAATTTCACACTTCAGTTGTATCCTCAGCTATACCATGAGTTGCTAAAAGATAATTAGCTGCCTGTTGTACATTCCAGTTGCAACGGGTAAGGGTTTGTTTAAAGTTCTCCACATGAACAAGGTGGGAGTTAAGAAGACACTGGAGCCTTGTGTACTTTATGGCTTTGTGGATGTCCCATTCGGTTTCATTGAGAGCCACCAAACATTCCTCAGGAGTGACTTCCTGTGTTAAAGTAAATCAAGAAATACAACTGACAAGACGAAGAACATCTGACAACAGTAAGTCATCTTTAACAGTTACAGTGTGTAAGCAGTGGATCATCTTTAACAGTTACAGTGTGTAAGCAGTGGACCATCTTCAACAGTTACAGTGTGTAAGCAGTGGACCATCTTCAACAGTTACAGTGTGTAAGCAGTGGACCATCTTCAACAGCTACAGTGTGTAAGCAGTGGATCATATTTTACATTT